GAATAACTTCAATTCCTTTGCATTTACTTAAGCATGTTCTATGAGCTAGCATGTGGTCTATTTTGGAGAACAACCTGTGTGCAGATGAGAAGACTGTGTATTCTGATTTTGTGGGGTGGAACACTGTGTAAACATCTATTAAGTCCATTTGTTCACAAGTTTGGTTCAGTTCTAATATTTTGTTGTTGATTTTTTGTCTAGTTAATCTGTCTATTTGTGACAGTGGGGTATTGAGGTCTCCCACTAGTATTGTATTAGTGCTTACTTGATTTTTCATGTCCGTTAATATTTGTTTTATGTAGTAGGGTGCACTGATATTTGGTGCATATATATTTATGATTGTCATTTCTTCCTCTTGGATTGTTCCCTTTACAAGAATATAGTGGCCTTCTTTGTCTCTCTTAATTAGTTTTGGTTTGAAATCCACTTTGTCTGCAAATAGGAAAGTTGCTCCTGCTTTTTTCCCAGTTCCTGTTGCATGGAGTATTGTTTTCCATCCTTTGACTTTCAGTTTGTGAATTTTTTAAAATTAAGTGTGTTTCTTGTATACAGCATATTGTTGGATCTTGCTTCTTGATCCGTTCTGCCAGTCTATTTCTTTTGATTGGTGAAATGAGGTCATTAACATTCATAGTTATAACTGATATATATTGACTTATCCTTATCATGATATTTTCCTGTGGTTGGTTCTTTTATTTTTTCCCCTTTCCATTTAATTTCTTGCCTTGTCTGATGGCTTCATTCTGTTGGGCTTCATGGAATTGTAATCCTCTCTGTCTTTTTCTAGGATACTGTTTAGAATATTTTGGAGTGGTGCTTTGGTATTCGTGAAGTTCCTCAGGTGTTCTTTGTTGTCAAAGTATCTTATTTCTTGATTTTGAAAAGATAGTTTTGCAGGATACATCAATCTGGGTTAGAGGTTGTTTTCTTGTAGGGCTTGAAATACTTCACTCAGGGTCTTCTTGACTTGAGGGTTTGTGTTAAGAAGTCTGCTGTGATTCTGATGGGCTTTCCTTTATATGTGATTTGTTTCTTTTCTCTAACTGCTTTTAATATTTTGTTCTTCTGCTTGGTTTGTGGAATCTTGATGATTAAATCTCAGTGTAGATTTTTTTTTTATCATGGCTAGTTGGAGTCCTATATGCCTCATTTATGTATGTCAAATCCTTTTTCCCTGCTTGGGAAGTTTTCTGCCATTACTTCTGTGAAGTTTTTTTTTTAATGTTGTTTGCACTATTGCCTGGTTTTTTACTGACTCTGATCAGTCTTATTATTCTTTGCATCACCTTGCAGCTGCTGGATTGATTTCTTGTGGTGCCTTGTTATTTTTAAGAAATCTCTCTTTCATGGTCACTAACCACAATCCTGTCCTCTAAATCTGATATTCTGTCCTCACATTAGCTAATTCTGCTGTGTATACTTTCAGTGGAGTTATTAATCTCCTGGATATCTGAAACTGTTTCATGATTTCCATTTCTCTTCTATGCTGGGCATTCATGGTTTCCATCATTTCCTGAGCTCCTCTATCCTTTTATCTGTTTCTCTTCTACAGTCACTAAGCATGTCTTTCATTCTTGTCACCATCTCTGAAGTTATCTGGGAAATTATTTCTGTTTTGATTTTTTTCTAGAGCCTCATTCATCTGTTTTGTTATTTCCTGTGTTATCAGTTCAGGGTGTCCAGATGGTTGGCTTTTGGATTGTTCTACCTTGTTGTCTGCTGAATTTGCCTTTGGTGCGCTGGAGGTCTGGGTTTGAGTCTTGTTTAGGTGTCTTCTCTCTTATTTTCATTTTTTGTTGATGTTTTTGGTTTAATTACTGGTTTGATACTTTTATATTGCTGATTGCAAGTATCTTTATTGCCATTATTTAGAACTCTTAGGGAATGATTACTTCTCATAGGTGTCTTCCAAGTATAGCTGGTCTTTGGGTTTTCAGTCTGTAATGATCCTTAGACGATCTTGGTTTTGGTATACCAGGAAGGACAAGTGATTAGAAAAATCACGTCACCTTGGCCAAAGTAATACAATCAGCATCAACAATAGCATCAAACACAGCTTAGAAAATGACAAATTGTGGTAACTATTAATCCATCACCTTTAAGCACATGAACTAGACTTGTGGTTTTATATCAAAATCAAGGACCAACCAGAAATATGTTTGCAGTAAATAAGCCCTTCAGTATAATGAATTTACCCTCCAGAAAGAAGACTTAGAAGTGGGGCAGGGGGTTAGAGAGATAGGAGGAGAGAGAAACATTAGAAATGCGGCTACAGGACACAGGAAGATCTTGCAAACTTTGGGAAACTGGTGAAGACAGGAGGAAAAAAGAGAAGGAAGGAACAAAAACAAGAACAGAACAAACTAACAGCAACAGAAAAACTAGAAACTGTATTCACTATCCTATAAAAATAAGAGCAATTGAGAAAAAAAAAGGACAGAAACAGGAACAAGAAAGGAGAGAAATGAAGGAGGAGGAGGAAGAGGAAGAGGAGGAGGAAGAGGAAGAAGGAGAAGAGAAAAAAGGAGAGAAAAAAAAGTCCCCTTCAGGACGTGTCTCTGCTGTCTCTGGTGGGCAATGTGGGGAGCAGCATGCTGATCCAGGTCAATTAATCTCAGTGAGCCAGCTGTAGTACACTGAGATTCAGGCTGGTTTCTGGCTGTGAGGCTGGAATTGAGCTCCCTGACCTGCAGGTTTGAACTCTGCATGGTTCTACTGTAGGTTTGAGCTGCCTTTCCCTTGAAGTGAGTCTGGGTTCTAGTAGGAGGTGCTGAACCCACCAACTCACCAACCGCTGTACTTTGCTGAGTCTTTATTACAGAGACTCTCTTTGCTCTCCCAGGGGGCTTCAATTGTCAACAAGCTTCAGAGAGGCCCTCTCTCTGCTGCTCACCGCTGCTTTAACTTCTCAAGCGTCTAACAGTGGCCTTGCTGGCCCTGGGCACCTCTGCCACAGGGATCCAGATCCCTATGGCAGTCCACATGGGGCAGGCCCTTTGGGTGTGGCACAGTCTGAGGGCTAGGAAGTTAGTTGAAGGCTTGAGGACATAAGTGGATTATGTCCCAGTTGCAGTGGCTGGCTTCTCCTCTCCTGGGCCACAGGCTGCTAATGCTTCAGCCCATCATGATCAGGAGCTCCCTTCCAGGATGGCAGCAGGCACTGGGGAGACCTGCTTCACTATGCCCCTGCCTCTGTGCCCTACGGTGCGCCCCAGGCCTGCCATGATGATCTGTTGGGGGTGTGTGGCATTGAAGAACAGGAGCTATCATTTTAAACCAGAGCTGGAGGTCGTTCTGGACTGGGCAACTGTTATAGGGTCACCTCCCCAGAATCCAGCCCACGCTGGCTGCAGTCTAGTTGATCAATCTAGTGTCTGATGGGTGAACTGTGAGTTTATCAATTTGACGTTATGGCTTAAATGCACGAAATCTGGAAAGATGCAGAACCCAACTGGGCAATAAATATACTTCAAGTAGGGAAAGGCACGAGCTTCTATCTTGTTGTGGTAGAACTTACCCACCCAAATAGGTTACCAAAAACATGTGGAGGCTCTGCTGAAGGAGGACTTTAAGATACCAAGGTGAATGGCATAGGCTTGATGTCCCCTCTGGCACAGGACAGGAAGTGAGCCAGGCCAAGCATGCTCACCTGGGGGGGGGGTGTGTGTGTGTGTGAGAATTGTTCCTCAGCAGCCACTGTGGTTACCCCAGGGTCCAACAGTTTTCAAAACTGTGCCTGGTGGCACACCTGGTCCCCTTATTTGGCCACGTTATAGGACTTGCCTTGGGCAGTACTGAAATAAGTATACTGGAGCTAACACTTCCTATTTTTAGGAACAAACTTTAAAATCATTTTGGTAATCTGCCTGTTTATATTTAAGGTTCTTGGAATACTTAGAAATTCGACATACTCTTATTGATTTGCGAATTTAAACTCACCAACAGTATTAGAAAATTCAAAAGCTCAATTTACTGTGTGTATGTCGGATTTGTTAGCTTTGTAACAGTTAAGTATTTCAAAGCTTTTTAAATTTAAGTCCTCTTAATGCAAATTAGACCTCTTAAAAGATTTGGGTGAATTAGATGTAAGAAAATACAGCTATATAGTGTTCTCACCTTACGCTCTACAGGGAATTAAGTGACCAAGTTTGTACACACACCTAATTATCTGAGGAATCTTAATGCTGATTAGAGATGTCTTTCCATGTACGTTTAGATGCTAACACACCACACTTGGGTGCAAGGTTTGTGCTCCTTTTCCAAAACTGATGCTTCTCAGTCCACTTTTTTTTCAAGCCTTTTTCAGGCCTTGAACGCATCAAATTGGTATCAGTGTTGATCCTTTTACTGCAGGAGCTGCCATGAAACAATGACTGTGGTGGGTGGCAGGAGCCGTGTCCTGCTGCAAATGCCACGGTGACCACAGACGCCCAGAACAAGCAGTCCTTAGGGCGCACACCACACCCGCACTGTGTCTAAGAGCCGCTCTTCCTGTATTACTTCTGCGTACTCCAGCTTCTCCTACATCTAGGCATCAGCTGACACTGTCAAATGTCACTCTATGTGGATGCTATTACAGAGTGAGCATCCCTAAGTGTCTAACTACACACAGGTCAATCTGGGAACAGTAACTGCAAGTCACTGCTGTTCCTGTTACTTTTCTCAGCTTCACACAATTTCACCTTCCTTAGCCCACTGAAAAGCTATCCCTTTGGAAGACGTATTGGTACAGATCACTAGGTAGTGGATTTTACAGCAGTACTATCGTAACTGAATGACTGGTACTTTAAAGATCTCAAATAGTTTAACTCTCGAAAGGTACCTGACTCCCAAAGTCAAAGCAGAAAATACAAGTGAAGAGAAAAAAAAAATACTATTCTTGTAAAATATAGCTGAGATCATAGAAATAAGACACTGAGATTATAGAAATAAGATCACAGAAATGAAATAAAGCTAAGATCACAGAAATAATGAAAAAGCAAACAAAATAAAGACCGTACTTATTTAGTTTCACGTTTTATTTTCATAATTATCTTCTGATAGAAGCAATAATCTGTATTTCTATAACAACACATTTAATGTCAAAGAGCTGGAAAAAATAGGAATAGAGCAGATTCCATACACAAACACCATACTCTGCATATGTACAAATAATTCAATATATTAAATATACTTTGTATACTACTTACTATATAGAACACTGGAACTAGATTCTGAGCATATTCATGCAGACTTTCATCGTGATAAAGTGAGGACACTGGAGTTCTGGAAAACTATTCTTGTTGTAAACATCATTTTCTGACTATGCTCTCAGGATGAGACTTATGCAGATGGAAGAATAAAACATGTAGGTGTGGCACAAAAGCTCTTCATAGACCCACAGAGGACGACCCTGACATGGAGGAGCTCTCCGGAAGTCGGCATGTTCAGCCTGAGGGTGCAGGGTGGGACAGGGGTGTCCCCTGCAGCTCCAAGGTCAGCAGCGTGCTGGGATCATTCCCTTTTGTCTTCAGTGTGTAAAACTAAGTGTTCCTGGCCCCACAGGCTGTGCTGAGTAGCATGCTGTGCAGAGAGAAAGCCCACACGTCTGTGAGCGCTGCCGATCCGCTCACACGGATTACTAGTTTGCTCAAAGGAGCCTTAGCAGAAGATTCCAGAAGTTTCTGACTGGACCTAAAGGTACATGCAGCAGTGATGAGACCTCAGAAAGCTTATCTTCTCCTTAAATAAAAATGCCTAAGTACAGTCGTTTTCACACCGCTCACAATCTCAGTACAATGAGGAAAAATGAGCTGCCACCTGCTGAACTGCAGGTAACTTCAGGGGCACCCAGGTGAAGTCATACTAACATCCGCCCTCACTGGGAGACAGACAGGGGCTTCCTCTGAGCAAAGCTGTGGCCGGGGTCACCAGTACCCTCTTCTGAGTGTTTCAGGAAGCCCAGTGAAACAAAGCAGGCTGGGTTCTGCTAGGGGAGGAGTCTAAAGGGACCCAGATGGGGCTGAATGGAGAGAAAAGCAGCTTGGGGCAGTGCCAGCGGGGCGTGCAGGGCCACACTGCTGCTGTCCTATGCTTCCAGGTGGCAGGCAACGAGGCAGGTCTAAGCCACACAGGGTGCAAAAGGAATGCTTCAAAAATAACATGTCAGGACACCACCCAGTATGAGAATACTGGCAGCCCAGGGTTTAACATGTCTCTCAAATACAGTTCTCCCTTTTCAGCCAAACCTTTGTAGTATGCCACATCCCATGTTCAGTAATAGTCTAGCTGCAACTCCTAGCGAACCAGAAACCATGCTCTGGAGGGAGAGACACAGGAGTTAGGATGATGGAACTCGACCCCTTCGCACTATGTGGGCAGGATGCTGGCTTCCGCGTGGTCAGGAGCTGAGCAGGTCTCCAGGCAGTCCCTGTGCCTCTGTACGTGCAAGAATCTCCCGCATGCAGAACACTGGAAACAGGACTGCCTTCACAGAACGCCTCCAGCACTTTGTAAAGTCGCATACAAAAGCTTATATGCATCTTATGTACGCACCTCGAGTCTCACAACTGCTTCATCTCAGTCTCATCTCTGAGAAAGACCTAAACCCTAAACGCCTCCAGTGTCATGGGGGATAAATTTCCTTTTCAAAACAAAGTACGTTTTTAATATAATAATTCTTTCACTGGTAAACTTCACTTTCAGCAGCAATATTAAATAAAATACAAAGAAATCCTCTGACAGTAAATTACAGGACCACCAGAGAGGAAGGGCACCAGTGCCCACGGCCCTTTTGTTTAGCATATGACTTGTCTAGAATTTGGCTTGCAAAGTTTAAAATCAACGGGATTGACATATGACAGCAGATAGTCTGCTAATTCCTGTTCTTACAATGAAAAAGAAAATGCATGACATAGTAGATACAATGGCTGATTTGGGAAATGGTAACTAAGAATCATCTTTATTAGTATTCAAAATCACGACCTCAAGGAAGTCGAGATAACTTTCAATGAGTCCCAGGTCCATGAAAATGGTATGTCAAAATTCTCCCTTCCTTTTTTCCTTTTCTTGTTGTAAGCAAAATACTAGCACAGTCCTCCTGAGTATTCATCTTCCTCCTCCTCAGGGGCTGCAGGGGCCACGCCGTCGGGCTTGGCCTGGGGGGTTGCTGGTGACTTCCTGATTCCTCCTCCTGGCACCACCAAGCTCAGGCCCAGTTTGGCGTACTGTCAACAACAGGTAAGAAAGGCTGTGAGCTCAGCAACTGGACCCCTGCCATGTGGCTTCTGGACGGGGAGCCACCAAGCTCAGGCCCAGCTGCACGGCCTGTCAGGACAGGACAGGCTGTGAGTGGAGAACATGTCTCAGTGGGGGTTAAGCAAGAAATGACAGCGCCTCGGCCTCCACCCTCACCAACACCATGACCACCCTGGATGGGAAACACAGAGACCCTAACGTGCAGGTGCACAACTGCGGCACACCAAGTAGGTGCCACACTCGGGACCTGAGATGACTCAGACACACCACGTCACACTTCTGGCCCCTAGGAAGCAAAGATTGGCTGGGTGTGTGAGAGAAGTGAGGGGCAAATCTTAAGAAATCTATACCAATTTACAAAAGCCTGTCTAAGAATTTACGTAGGAAAACGTTTCTCTGCACGTATCATCGTGACAAATGGACGGCCTGCAGCTGACCTGACTCTACGACAGGACTTTAAACCACCACTCACCAATTTCCTGAGAAAAGGTAGTGGGAAGGAAGCCAGGGCCGCTCTCACAAGTGAGGCCATTCTCACCTCGACTGGAGGGCCTTTCATGACACCCTGGCATGATGACGCCAGGAGCTCACCACTACGGATGAGTCACCTGGAGGTGGGGGACCATCAACAGCAGCCTGTACCACCCAGCAGTGCCACGCAAGCGGCACAGTGGTGGTCTGCTGAGCTGCCAGGACCACATCGTGGGCCTCTTTCAGACAAGAAGCCGGAAGAAAAGAAACTTATTAACTAAACGCCTTCAGAGGGAAAGAGACTGCAGGAGATGCTGACAGGCTAAGTTTAAAAATGTGCCACAGTGAGCCAGGTGTGGTGGCACAGGCCTGTGATCCCAGCACTCTGGGAGGCTGAGGCAGAGGAGTGCCATGTTCAAGCCCAGCTGGGGCAGCTTAGGGAGACCCTGTCTCAAAATAAAAAATACAACAGGGCCAGGACACAGCTTAGTATAAAAGCCCTGGGTTTAATCCCTGGTACTACAAAATAAGTAGATCAATTTAAAAAGTTAAAACGTGCTATGGTCAATGCAGCAATGAGTCGGTGAAGGGCTGCAGAATCATGGGGTTGACGTCCAGGTTTCCTACACTAAGGAGGAAGTCAGTGGGATTGCCTGGTTCTTTTCTGAGTGAGTCTGGGCTGAAAAGCTGTGGTAGAAAATCTCTCAAATCACAGAAAGCCCCTGGCAAGTGGAGGGCAGAGCGCCCACCCGCCCGGCAGCACTCACATCATTGTCCATGTACTTGAAGAGGGGCGAGTTGCAGACCTCCGACACCTGGTCTTGGTCCTGCTGGTCGTAGCCCTCGAGGAGCTGCTCGAGCGAGGCACAGTCCTCGCTGCCGTTGAAGCCCGGGATGCTGTGGAGACAAAACGTGCACTTCGTCACCGCTCCCCAGAGAACGCCTCTCCCCCGGGGCGCCACCCGGCAGAGCTGGGACAAAGCCAGTGACAGGGCTGTTCTGGCACTGCCCAGGGCTGGGATGCTGCTCAACACCCAGTGGGGCACAGGGCGCCCACAAAGGACTGGTCCAGCCCTGAATGCCAACCGGATGGGCCGCCCTGCACAGGACTCCCTCCCGCCATCTTTGGGCAGCACACAGGGCAGCTCTGCCTTTCCTGCACTTTATTTCTCAGGAAGCAAACATGACAGGGTGATTCAAGTCACGCACCCCCGTGGAAACCCTGAACTGAAAGGGTGGCGGAGGACCCCATCCTAAGTCTGACAGCCAGAGCTTGTCTGAGTGGCAACGGGGCTTAAGGAACAGAAACGCCAACCCTGTCTCAAGGGCGGCTGCCGGCGCTGACCTGTAGCTCTCCCTGACACACCGCTCTGCAGCCACGTAGTCATTTCTGTGCAGGTGAACCAAGACCTGAGCGATGGTTTTCTAAAACAAAGCAGAGGGCTGTGGTCCATAAAGCCGTCCTCCGGGCATCGTCTAAAACATCTGGAATTCGCCTTTCAGTGTGGGTTTGTATGGAGAGGTTTATAAAGTCTGTAGTAAATCCCAAAGACACCGGAGAGAAAACCGCCCCCGGGACCCGGCTCTGCAAGCTGCGGGCCACATGGGGATCACAAAGCCTCAGAAGACCCTGCACGTCCCGCAGGGAATGTCTTTGGGTGTCTGTACCATCTTGAGAAGAGGAAAGGTGGGGAGCCCGTAGGTCCACAACTGGACACCAGGAGTGTCTGCAGGAAGGCTTTAGCTAACAGACAGTACCACGCGTAGGCGGACAGCACAGGGGCGCAGGAGCAGGCGCACTCATAAAACCTCACGGCAGCTCAGCGCCCCAGGCTGCCTGTGTTCTCAGAACGCTGCTCTCCTGCTCTGGGTCCCCCCGCGCCCACCGTCCCTAAGGCAGGTCCCAGGCCTTAGGGCAGTGGTGGTGAACCCCGGGCAGCAGTGGGCAGCAGTGGGCTGCTCGCATCACTGAACGCTCTCGCTCTCATGGCTTCTGCCATCACTCCCTGGGGAGTCCCTCTCCCTCTCCCCTGCGGGTCTCCTCCCTGCTGTCCTGGCTCCTCCCTACAGGTCTCTGGATCTCCTAGCATGGTGGTGGCCGCGCCCCAGCTGGAAGGGTGGCTTCCTAGGAGAACCCCGTGTGGCCTGTGCTGCTCAGGCTTCCTGGGGTGCTGCAGACGGGGCCAGGGACTCGCTCTCCATCTGCTGTGTCCGAGTGCTTGCTCCCCTCCGGGCTGCGTGCTTTTGCTCACTTTACAGAGAGTAGGGAGTTGCTTTCTGTACTTTCCTGGTAGTTTTAATTCTAATCAGCAAGACTAGGCAGTAATGGCTTACTCTGTCTTGGTAGAAGTGTTACTTTACAAATACCCACAGAATCCCTGTTTAGGCATTTATTTATACCAATGTGAAAAATTACCCAATGTATAACCACAAATGAGCTCTTTCAAAGAATACCTTGTAACAAGTTGGGTAATTCTCAATTTCCTTATAAATGTTCTTTTCTTTCTGAATAGAGAGTGCCGCCTCATCAAACCTGAAAGCAAAACAGAGAAACATAAACAAGGCAGATCTGCCTGAGGTCCCTTCAGAAGGTATCTGATATCACAGACTTTAGAGAAGCTGAGAGACCCAGTGCTTACCAAATGCAGCATAATGCAGACTTCCATCTGCCCTGCGCCATGCCTGGCCCTGGCCTGGGCATCAGGCTGGCTGCACGGGACACAGGAGTGCATGGCACCAAGGCCCACACATCAGTGAGCACCTAGCAAACGCAACGGCCCTGACCCCAGCACCCGGACTCCTCTCCAGGGACTCCAGAGCACCCTCTAACTTGGCATCGCTTGGGAGAAGGAAGCTCAGCGTAGAAGGGGGTGTGACAGTGGTACTCTAAGACTGCCCCAGGGTTCTCGAGCTCACAGGACCTGTGTAAATGCTCCCCTGGGGTGGGCCTGGCCTGGGAACACGGTGGGGCTCCCCTGGGTTCAGTGCTGGGGGCGGCCTGCGGGGAGGTCTGTCCGCAGGGCCTGAGCCCCCGCAGTTAGTGTCACTGCAAACGACCTTGCAGAGCGCAGGCTGAGGAACTGATGCAGCGCTATCCGAGAATGGTTACAGGCTGACAGCCACGAGACACCGGGGACCTCTGTCCACAACTGCAAAGGAACAAATTCTACCAATAGCCAGCGAGCCTCAGATGCCATCACAGCCCACAGAGCTGACACACAGAACTGGGAAGTAACTGACTGTGTTTCAAGATGCTGAGCTTCTGGTAATTTGTCTCACAAACAGAAAATTAATGCATGGGGTCCCACGGGGGTCGGTATCACTTGTGACATGAGCATGAGCTTAGCACAGACTCTGTTTTATAAAACACACAGCAGAGACGTCCTGTGCCCATAATGTCCAGATTCTATCACTCCGGTAGGAATACAGCACTGCAAACTCTTAACACATTCATCTAAGAGGCTGTGTTCTGCAACGTGAATTAGTTCTTTCATTGTCATAAAAACAGCATCTCCGTGTGCTTATAACCACCTAGCAAAGCACCAGAAGAAACCCTGCATTTCTGAGCCTGGAGTGGAAAAAGTTGATCAACTTTGCTAAAGTCCATGGACCTGGCATAAAAAGCCATCCATCTTCGAAGGTATCCAGGAAACTTATCAAACTTACAATGAAACACAGATGCTCCTGACTTTCCCGTCAGGTAATTCTTACTGCTCCTAAGAGAATGTGCCTAGTTTTGCTGCAGAGGGTGAATTGCTTTTGTCTTCCTATAACTGAAAGATTTAGACCAAAATAAACTGAACCCTAAGCCCCACCCACAGCAATTAAGTGCCTAAGACAGGAAACTGCCACAGACTTGGTTCCTCCCCAGCTCCAGCTGTTTCCCAAATGCCAATGTCTTGTTTTTTGGTACCGGGGATCGAACTCGGGACCTTGCACTTGCAAGGCAGGCGGCGGAACCACTGAGCCAAATATCCAGCCACCAACGTCTGTCTTAGCCTACAAGCCTTCCAGTCTTGTCACACTCCCAACGGAGGCCCTCACAACATGGGATCACAGACAGGCCGCGCCCACAGTGGACGGGACAGTTACCGCAGCAGAAACCCAGGGGACGCCTGCCTGGACACCGCCCTCCCAGCATTTAGGGCCTAGGGACTGGCCCACTCCCACGGGTGCCGAGTGGGAACACTCACCACGTGCCCCTGCTCCAGCTCTCGGGGAGGCTCAGCCCTCGTCAGCATCAGCTTGCGGGGAAGGACAAAGGCCCCAATGCTCCCTGAGTGAAATTCTGGGCCTCTGACTTAGGGCTCTCCAGAACCGGAGGGAAAGCATGAGACCAGGAGACATGAAGCAGACTGGCTGCTTCTGCTGCACTCGTGCGCACTGCAGTGTAAGGTTCCTCAGGCTCCCACAGGCCAAGCACAGGAGGCCACATTCTCCTGGGTGTTACATGCGGAGCATCCAAGCTCGCCACCTGCTATAGTTCTTTCAGGACACCGCGGCCTCCGCTCAGATCACTACCTCAGTGTGGTCACGGATCACAAGAACGGGCCCGATTATCTCTCCAGCAGGATCAACTCTTGGTGTGTCTTATTACCCTGTACTACTCAATGCCCTGGCAGAAGTACTCAGGCAGCAGGCTTTTAATTCTTTCATACCACTCGTACCCAGGGACACTTTCCACAGTATCAAATTCTGTCATTTTCCTGAGTAAGTTTACATCAACTTTTATGATGTTATACAATTTAAAATTAAATTTCCACAAAGCTGGCTTTTGTTTAAACACTGCAGAAATTCTCATTATAAAATGCAGTTTTACTAAAAAGAAGGAAAAACCAAACAACCCTAGTAAAGCACACCCTGAAGGACCCCTCCCAGCACGCCCAGATGGCCCCGGGGACAGGAGGGCCACGCTGTGCAGTGCCTGCTCCGGGCCATGGCTCCAGCACGGCTGTCAAAACCGAATGGCACCGACTGGCACCGGCTGCAGGGCGAGGGGGGCGCGTCCCCCACACGGGTGCCAGAGGAGCTCTCGAGCCCGGGCTCCTCCCTCGCCTGACCTCCTTCCCTGCAGCTTTAGGTGGTCTACAGTTTGGGAAATAGGCGGGAAAGATGGGAAGCGCAGCCCAAGGGACTGTGCTCGCCTTCTGCCCACCCATCACCTGCAACCTCTCCCTCCCTTGGGCGGCTCCTGCAGGGGGGCTTCCAGGCTCTTCATGGAGGAGGAGGCCACAGCAGGCTGGGATGTGCAGGACACCGCCCCTGTGTCTAGGCAGGGCCGGCACATGAGGGGGACTCGAGGTGACACATCGCAGGTCAGCCACTCTGCACAGCCTAGGGGCCGCTGCCACACTCAGGGATCTGACCTTGGACCCGAGTCTGCATTTCCGGGAACCAGTGGCTAGTAGAACGAATAAAGGTGATGATTCAAACTGATTTGTGAATCGAACTGTTCCATGTTTTAGTACAAAAGGCTTCATTTAAAAGCACAACAAAATTTCTATTCCGTTTAGGCCAACAAAAACCTAATCAATGAAAAGGCTTTATATAAACAGTGGTAGAGCTAAGTGAGAACATGACAATAGTTAATTCTAGGTTTAGTCTGATGTTATTCTAAACGTTTCAATTATATTTTAAAATATGGTGTCTTAATTAAGAAAAAAATGCAGTCCCAGAAAGGGACTGATAGATTCAGCAGTCATTTCTATTTTAATTTCTTGACAAAATAAATCTGGGGTCTTCTCTGTCACCAGAGAGCTACGTGCGAGTTTTAATTAGGACATTTGTCTCCAAGCTTACACTGTCCTAAGGGCGTTTATCTTAAATACTGCAGTATTAAGTGAGGACGTGGCAAGCACGATTTTATCATGATACAAACTGCACTACGCATAAGGTGAGGTAAAGTAGAAGAGACCCAATGGAGGTCTAGCTTTCCAGCATCCAGCAGTCTGTGCTCTAAGCCACATATGCCAAGGATAAAAAGATGCACACCCTGTTCAGTGACACAATGTGACCAAGAAACTGTCACTCTTCCTGAGTGAGGGTTAAAGTGTTTCTGTCTTTCATCCCAATATACATGTATTTCCTCAAGAGAGAAACATTCTAGACGAAGTAACAAATGAAGAAAACTGTTCTCTTTCATCTGCTGGGCTACATCCAAGCCGATGAAAGAACAATGCATAAATCTGGGCACCGCACTGTAGAAACGCAGACCTTCTGACACTGAACTCGACGCGCCCACTGTTGCTGTCGACTCTTCTCCTGGGTGGCCTGCTGTGCCTACGGCTGATGCCAGCAAGATGAACGAGCTGGACCCTCAAGCATTTAACTGACCCAAATGCAGACTCCCAGGAGCGCAGCTGGGAAAGCTTTACCTGCGTCCGCGAACTAGCAGCCTGGAGGCTTTTCCCAGCAATTCAACCGCCTGCCGGAGACGCTCCTCATTCTGAAGGAATCAAAGAAAGGGAGTGTTGGCTGCTTTAATGGGGCACCTTCTTACCCTCCGACAGTAACTCTAAGGAAGTGATGGCACTGTGTCGGGAGTGCGGAGCTGCTAGCCCATTCACTACTCTCCAACAGGAAAAAGGAACAGAGTTCAGTTGTGAGCATGGAAAAGCTTGGCAAACTACCCACTGCATTTCTGTTTTCCTGTAAGTTATTGCTCTAGACACTCTTAAGTAATCAAAGAAAAACAGGAGGGTTCCAACTTACTTCAAACACATTAGCTGTCTGCTGATACAACTGTACAGCCTTTTCAGGATCTACATTTTCTATCAGCCTGAATTAGACAAGAGAATGTGACTTATGTGAGAAACAGAAAACTCGTTTCAGAGGACGTTAAAATCAGAAGAGCAGGACTTCCGCGGGGTGGCGCACTCACTTCCCGGCGCGCTCCAGGGCCATGGCGGCCGTGTCCGGGGTGCCGTTCTCCAGGTACATCGTGCTGGCTTTCTCGATCAGCTGGACGGCCTCCGGCAGCTTCTGCATCTCCTTTGGGCAGAGCACGCGGCACAGGTCAACTTAAGAAACGCAGTTAACAACTGGAAACTCACTAATTTTCTTCCTGTTTGATGAGAGCAAGTGACACGTGACATGTCACTCTGCGACATCAGGCAGCATCGCGCCCTCCCCCACGGGACACTTCACTGGCCAGACTACGACGGCTCCAGTCCATCCTCGCTTCACAGACTTTCAGAGGCACCGTGTAACGTGGACTGGGAAAACCTGCTCGGAACTATTTTTCCAAGCCTCACAGCGCTTTAAACACTTCTGAGGCTACTGTGCCGAGGGTCACGCACCAGCAGCCCCAGGGCTGCACTCCACTTCTAAGGACATTTTGGTTGAATCATGCAGTATTTTTAAATTAGATACTTTCACGGAACTTTTGTTTTACAGCCTCCTTTTTAAAAAGTCCCCAAAGGCTATGGCAACAGGGCTCGCAGTCCCACGAGGCAGCGGCCCCGTCAGGAGCGGGTGCCTCGGGGGCGGGCAGCGCTTCTCCATGCCTCCTGCCCACTCCTGACACCTCAGTGGCCCCTGCACCTGGGTCCGGCAGAATCCGTGGCCCCAGACATATCTTACTCTCATTTTGTGAATCTCAGACCTTTTGGTCCTAACATCTCCAAATCAAAAATTTATTAGAAACTGAAAATGGAAATCATTTAAAAGCTCAAAGTTTACAGGAGTTGTGCGGTTAGGGTTGACCTGCGTGTGGTGACGCAGGCACACTGACATCTCATGGATCGCGGGCAAATCAGCCTGCTTAGCCCCTCACCGAGCCGACAAACACTCAGATGTCTCCAGCAAAACCGCAGCCCCCATACTCACCAATTCTAAAACAGAACTTTTTCATTATTCAGTTATGGAGACAGACGGAAGGGCACTACACGAGATAAAGCTGCTACCAATTACTACTCAAGTGAAACACAGTACATTCCCATCTCCGATGAAAACATTCTTTTGTTCTAGAAACCAAAGTTCAGTAAGAGACCCCAAGTCTTTGGACTGGTACATGTTGAAGGATATTTGGGAAAACTTTGATCCTGCGGGTCATTTTCACTTTTATAGACCATTCCTTCCATAATTCACCAACCCATTCATTAAATGTATACTGAACATAAGAGCATCTGGGGATAAAAGAACAAGAACACAGGGCATACAGAGCAGTGACTGCATCAGAGATGGAGGGAAGAAGTGTCACCGAGACCTAGCTTTAAAGATGAACGACAACTATACACCTCCCTGCCTTGCTTGACACCTGGGAGCGACCAGGGTCCAACCACAGCACTGACACTTCTCAGAATAAAAGTCGGGCGGTGCCACTCACTTCCAAGTGCTATTTCCAGTGGCTTGTGTGCCATGGCACCGTACTGTCCCTATGGGGCAAACAGGACATGAAATCCCAGGTCACAGGTGACAGCACCAGCGTAGCTCTGACAAGCCCCGGGGTTCCCTTGGGCCTGGCCTCCAAGCTGCCACCCCCTCAGCCCTGCCACACAGTAAATGGGAAGCTCTGTAGGACAGAGGGGTGGAAATCACAGCTCAGGGCTCCCAATGCCACTCGGCACTGTCCCCAGCCGTTTAAACCAAGCACAAGACCGTGCAGAAAACATTTCCTTTCTTGTTTCCCCATCCATCTCATTTTCCTTTACTCAGAGTGAAGCCTTTTCAATCTCAAATTAAACAGCTACTTGGGCAACAGAAGTGATGCTTGAGTCACCTTAGCACAGCTGCTGGAACATAAATGGAGGTGGTGAGAACTACCTCGTTCTAGCACTGGATATCCTAAAACCAGATCTGAGGTGCACCAAGACTAAAACCACCTGGGCCTCTCCTAGCTCCTGGGGAAGCAGGAGCTGAGAACACATTCCTCCTGGCTTCTTTCTCTGCTGCTAGTAACCTAACCTGTGACACCTAATGTCAACTCAGCTGCATGTTCAGCCAGAAAAGCTTTATTTCAATGGACATGGACCATTTCATCTAAAGTACCACATTTTTAAAATTCTCTTAAAATTTTTAGATAACTGCTCATTTTCAATAAACATGCTTATGCTCAAATATTTTCTATCTGCTTATGATAGATTCACAGAATTGGAACTGCTGTGTCAAAGGCTACGAAATTTTTAAACTAAGTATGTTAATGGCTATTACAGACACTTCTTTGTTCTCCCCAATGTTTCTAAACGTTCCACAATAAGCATCCATTCACTGAAAAAAATCAGTAAGTTAGTATTATCAAAGTCACAGAGAGCTAGACATGGTGACACTCGCCTGTAATCCCAGCCCCGGAAGGCTGAGGGCAGTGAGTTCAAGCCCAGCCCGGGCTACATACAGACCCTGTGTCTCAAAAACCAAAGTCACAGAAAAGAAAAACTTTACTGAAGCGTACGTTTTTAAAACAAAGCCATGGGAACTTTAAATATTTCGAGTAACTTGTACCACAACAGAAAGCACATATAAAAATGGAGAGGAAAATATTTCATTTTGATTGCCACCCGGCATACCTAGAGTCACTGTCTTAAGGAGTCTGTCCCAGCTTACGACAGCAGGATATTAATCCCTAGCCTGCTTTCAAGAAGGCTTAATATCAAAATAATCCATTCAAGAAACAAGTAAAGCAGCAATAGCTGAAGTCTCCGATTCTCTTTGTTGCCAACTGCAATTTATTTATAAAATAAAAACCTCCTCTCTACAACCCACAAATAACCAAGACACATATAAAGTTTCCACCACCTTAAGACGCCCTTAAGTTTTCAAATGCAGGGAAAGCACACATCTGACTGATTTCTCGGCAACGCACACCTGTCCTGATTGCAGAGCTGAGCCTTGCTGTCCCCAGTCCCCCAGTACATCTCTCCTCATGTCATATTTTACACTTGCTACCTGAAGGCACAAAGAACTCACCCTACGTGCCCCACCAGCACTGCCCCAGACAGTACATCTTAACTTAGCATCTCTTGCTTTACTGCAAGGAAACTTTTCAGCCTCCACATAAATTCTATCCCAACAATTCATTCAACCCATACAATAGCTCTGACATAACAAGGATGTGACTGACCTTCAGCATCATGCCAGCTTGTTCATAGGCTCTGCAAAGAGAAGACCATGTCTTTGGTGAGACTTAATGAACTAAGGGAGTGCAGGACTGGTGGGGAAGTGACTCCAATGAAAGTGGGTGGCCACAATGTATCCCTCCAATGTGTGTATCACCCCACAGCATCAACTGTGCTTGGTTTTATTTTCCTGGGCAATAATGCTTTAGGAACAGCAAATGCTAAGTTGAAAAGATTTTATTTTGCAGATATAAAATTAAGTAAGGCTCAAAAAGGTTAAATGACAACCCCAAGCCTAATTTGACAAACCTAAATCTAACTTTTAAAACAAAACTTTCCACAAAAGCAAGAAAAAGCCTGCTACTCTCCCACAGGCACTATTAACTAACATGAAAGGGGAGGCGGGGATTTTAACTCACTAATTTCTTCAGACTACTGAACAAAATAGTCCTGAAAATAGTACGCCGAGTTTAATTCAAACACATACCTTACAATTAGGAGTGCCTTAGTCTTTAAGATTCAGTTAAAGGCCAAAGCAAATGACAATAACTGTCAGGCTTGTATCTATATGTCCCCCAAAGCCTCACTCACTCCTAGTGGGGCTTTTCCACTTGGATCTAGGTGTGTGAATATGGCTTAAGGGTGTGCGATAACCAAATTGGTCCACTGATTGATTGAGCAGAGTTCTGGGTGTGGATAATGGGATGCCCCACCTGGATGTGGGGGGCAACAACCAGCAGGCTTGTAGTCTCAATGGAATAAAAGGGATGGGAAGCTGGATACTGCCGCTTCCTGCCTGCCACACCATGGACTGTTTCTCCTCTGCAATGCCCCTCTGCCGTGCCATCCCGCCTTGGAACCAGACAACCGTGGCCTGAAACCTCTACAAACTGTGAGCTAAAGTACACCTTTTCTCCTTTAACTTGTAGGTGCCAGGTATTTTGTCCCAGCAAAAAGAAAGTAACTAAGGCAATAACTATTTTATTTACATTAATACAAAAATAATTATGTACAAATTTATAACTTTGAAAATCTTTAGTAGCCTATAATAGTGACTTTTAAAACATAATCTGCAAACAAATAAAAACATGGAGAGTGTTACTTACTTGGCAGCATGGAAAAGACTGAATGGATGCAACAATGTCAAAATTAAGGAAAAAAGAGGAAATCAATAGTTTTTAGACAGCTACTACTTAAAAGACTTAAAAAATCACTAGCCCAATTGGTTCCAAAAGACAAATCCTACAAATAGGTTAAAAATATATAATAATTCAATGCCTGTTGAAGTCTTAAGATCACAGAATTCACAAAATATTGACAAAACATCACAGATTTAAATTCTTTTTACCATGTATTAATCTGACCAGTTTTACTAAAATGCAAGATTATTATGACTATAATTTGGAAGTAAGGCAAAATAAACACTTTTAATTGATAAGTTTTAAGATACCTTAGGAAATTTTTAAAAAACTACTTAGAAATCTTATTTCTAAGGAAGACTCTACTTTTAAAAATGTACGTGTGTATACATTTTCAATATGTGTGCTTTAATTTCATTCTTCAGCATGTATCCCTTCACCTCAAGTAAAACCACTGTCAAGTAAAATTGGCAACTATAATAGAAAACAAACTCTCGAATGCAGCTCTGTAAACCACTGTGAACCTCATGATCAAACATCACTACAAATGCTCTGTCAGAGCTTAGAAATACATCATTTTTATAACCATTCTCTAATTTAAGAGTATTTTACTTCACATGCAGCAAATTTATAGTAAGAGAACTTTCTGTCAAAGTTATCTATTTGTTCAAATTCTTTTTTAAAGGTTGAAAAAGATACGCCCTATTATTTTCATGGGCCATGGCTTCCCTCAGGCAGGCATCTTTTGCTTGTTCAAACTGTTTGGCGTTTTTAAAAGCAACAGCTGAAACGAAACAACAACAAAATAAATATATCCATCTACACATATAGACTTCCTATTTCTATTATTAAAAAATCTCAAATGAACCATTACTGAAATCTACATTTCATATGAAGTATCACAAAGTATGCTAGCAATTTCAAATACCTAGGAAGTTTCATAAAACTATAAAATATTTCTTTTTCCTGAAGGAATTCTTTTACAACTTTTCTGATTATCAGTATTTCAGAAGTATTTTCAACACTGTTGTTGTTGCTGTTTGTTTTGTTTTGTTTCTGACTACTGGCAGTACAGCAGTGCCACTCGAAACCTAGAATTCCAAGGCCAGCACTCCCAGGGCTCCTGCAAGAGTCGGGCAGGGCCTTCGGTCCCAAAAGGTAGCAGCTCACTTCAGGAACTCTGCACGTCACCACAGAAACGGTGCTTCCGGTGGAGCTCATTAAATTATTTAGGAACTAAAGACCAATATATACTTAATTTTACAATAAACCTTTCCTCTTGGCAGGTTCAAATAAATGTCTAGCAATGCATCTCTTAAAAAACAAAACTTTTGCTAGGCATGGTGGTAATGCCTGTAATTCCAGCACCTGAGAGACTGAGGCAGGATTGCTATGAGTTCAAGGCCAGCCTGGGCTACATAGTAAGACCTTGGCTCAAAAAAAAAAAAACAAAACAAACTGACAAAAACAGAAATATGAGTCTGGGGGTCTAGGGTTGTAGCTCAGTGGGAGAGAGGTCCCTGAGTTCCATTCCTAGTACTGCCAAAAAAACAAAACCAAACAAAAAGCTCGAGGCTTTTATATAGCTTGAGTTAGCCATGAAAAAGGCATCTTACTTTTCAGAGACTAAAGTATATTGTCAGGAGTTTAAAAAGTGTAATCATTAGGGCAAAAGAATGAGGAGTGACTCTAAGATACAACCTTACCAATTTGGGGAACCTTTCTAAGAGATGGCAGCTCTACCCTACACCTCTGAAAAAAATGCAAAAGCTTAAGCAGTTGCTCTGTTTTGCTTTTTAACTATTAAAAGCCTTGTAGGAAACATTAAGCGAAAGCATCCTGATGACATAAAGCTATCAGACTGTTTTTTGGGTTACACACTGCAACAATAGGATTATAGTCACAAATACCTGCTTTTCCGTATTCTGAAGCGGCACTGTCATAGTCTGGCTTCCATTTTAAAAAACCAGTTTTTAGGCTAGAATGAAAGAAAGATACATTTAACAGAAGTTGCCAACTACATTTGCAGGTCAGAATCCTGCTTATAATGATTGTGTAGGTCACTAAAATGAATTTTTTAAAAAGGGAAGGCATCAGGCATAACCCTCCCGCACCTAACCCACCTCCACTCAGACCTATTCACAGTACATACAACCTCACCTCTTTCCCTCTCACTACCAGACATGGTTTTCTCACTCTGAAGTGCCCAGATGGGCAGCTCCAGCATTACCTGGTCACTTGCCGGAAATGCACACTGCTGCTCCACCCCAGGTCCACAGAACCAGAACCTTGGGGTGGGTGCAGTAATCCACGCTTAGCAGGCCTAGAGGTGCTTAATGTTCAAGAACCTCAAAGCACCGTATCTTCACCCTAGCAGCTGAGAGGCTAGGGTACAGAGTACAGAGAAAAGGTGGAGTCATCAGCATATGCTATGCTGAAGACACAGAGAGGAGCCCCTAGGGAGACTGCAGAGAGAGGACAGAGACAAATGTTCAGAGGAGTAACACAGGGACTTGGTCCAAAGCTGAGAATTAGCTGCAGTGAAGAAGGACAAACGAAAAGAGGACAGTGCAGTAACCAAAAGAAACTGCCTTCCATATCACCATTGCCTTTAGATGCCAAATCAAAGAACAATCAATTTGCCCTTTTTGCAATATTTTCCATTTTTATTTTAAAGTAATACCAGATGTATAGTGTAACTCAGTGGGTGTCAAACATGGGTGTTTGGGCATAAGAATTACTGAACACCATCTTAAATTCTAAATTTCAGTTCAAGTGGGGAAAGCCTGCTTACATATAACACTGTTACTACCTCATTATGAATTGGGGGCAACTTAGATGAGAGCGGGCCCTCGGAAGTACACCCTACATTTTGAGACAGCTCAACCAACTGGCCACAGAATCTGTTAAGTAACATTTTTTTTACTATGAAATTAAGGTATTTAACATCTAACATGTGTTTACATACTGTAACAATATTCAAAGTTGTATGCAAGTTTTCAAGCTTACCAAGAATTTCATTGCTCAGAAAACTAAAATCCTTAAAATTGCAGGATATCTATTTTAATCCACAAAATTGAGGAAATACACAATAAATTAAAGTTCTGACTCTCCACCCCATACCAAAACACTCACTACATTCCGCGCGTAATAGAGAATTATTTAAGTCCCACTGAGAACAAGATATAATGATTTGTCTAATGTGCTACACCTCCAAAGAGCAGGAGATTTAAAAATACCAAAGATAGGGCTGGGGATTTAGCTGAGTGGTTTCGCTGCCTGCTGCACAAGTGTAAGGACCCGAGTTTGATCCCCGGTACCAAAAAAAAAAAAAAAAAGTCAAAGATCAACACCACTCAACTGAGCCTCACCAATTAGGAAAAAGAAGGTATTGTAGTTTAGTTCAGTTTCATAGCTAACCTCCATTTGTTTTGACTTTTTGTCTGAAGTCAATAAGGAAATTCACCAATTTCCTAGGACAAAAGAAATCAGCAAAACTACCATTTATCTGAGGGGATTACTGACTACTATTAGAAAATAGAGAAAATCAAATCTCTTCTGAGCTCCTGCCCATTTTCCCTGCCACCTGCTGCACTACTCGCCTCAAGGGCCTTAAACATGACCCTAAGCTGGGGCCCTAAACATAACCCTAAGCTGGGGCCCAACACCTCGCTGCTGCCCCAGCCTTACCCATAATCTTCCCCTTCATCTGCAGTCACTGTCTCGGCTAAGGACCACTCCCTCCACTCCATCTGCTAAATCACCTCCATAGCCAAGCAAGTCATTAATACATTCACAGTGAGGCTGTGATTCACGTCTCGCTGCTGGGTGGATCTGAGCCACCAGTCATACACGCACGACCGTCCCCTCAGTGGTACGAGCCGCCCGATGGGACCGTCATGCAGAAACCTCTGGTGGTTCAAGCCAGCGGGGACATGTTAAAGCTTGTCAACTCTATTAGATATATGCTGCCCAATCCTGTGCCATTATTTAACTCAGGCCATCACCACCTCTCCCTGAAGTCACAGCCAACTAACCGGCCTCATAGTGCCTCAGGAGCCACCTTTCCCTCTGTATCCCCTCCTCTCCCAGCACCTCGAAGACAGTAACCCCCACCTCCTCCACCAAACCCGAGCGCTTCTAGTCTAGCACTGAATATCTATTCCTATTCATCTGCATACCTGCCTGCCCTCCTGTGAATTCTAAGCTCTTGAGAAAATGACCAGTTCAGGATGCCCAGTACCCCAGTGGCTGGTACAGGTATGCAGACATAAATGTCTGCTTAATGAAAAAGCCACAGTTCTCTCCCCTTCCTTCCTCACAGTCCATCCTCCACAATGCTGCCCAAAAGGCCCCCTGGTTATTCCATGCAGAGAAAAACTAATGCCCAGGTCCATCCAGGGTGGTCTCTTCACAGCCCAGCCCTACCTCCTCTTGGTACAGCGCCCCGAGCTCATTCTCCGCCCTTCGGACACCACGGCCTGTGTACAGAACCACTGAAGATTTTCCCTTTTTAAAATTCCTTATTTTGGAAACCTTGCTGGCAGAATGAACTTGTGTGTTGACAGCTTTACTGTGATCTTTACTGCATGTACTATTCTCACTGTACTTTTACTTTGCTCCCACTAGACTCCTGTGGCTACTTCCTGCACCAAGAGAGCCCAGCACCTGGCCCCCGCCCATTAGTAGGAGGCATCATCATCATCAGCTTGAATGCTGCACTGGCTCTGTCCTCTTCCAACTGTGCAGCCCTGGGCAAGTCAGTGGGAGGCTTCTCTGAGCCTAACTGCAAAGTTGTCTTGCAGATCTCAGATTACAAAATTAAAGCACCTAACGCAGTAGGCTTTTCATTTTAATTGCTGAATTAAAAAATAATCGTTGGGCATAACGTAAGCGGGGGAGAAGGAAGGGGTCAAAAGATTAAGAGAATTAGCTGCGTGCCACAAATATTGCCGGGCGCCTGCTGAGGCCTGCTCGAGGAGGCGGCAGCACACACTCAAGAGCTAAGAATACAGAGTTCTTGCCCTCAGGAACAGCAGGCTGGTGGATGAGGAATCTGGGGCTCATCGACAGCCGCTCCACGACACCGGTTCTCAACAAGGACTCTGTCCTTTAGGGGGCACTGGTTGTCACAGTGGAGAGAGGCAGAGGTGCAGTTGGCATTTGGTGGCTGGAGACCAGGGGTGGCTTCCGTAAAGATCAGCACACAGGGCCCGCCGCGGGGGACCCTCGGCTCCCGGCCGGCTGTGGAGCCCAGCTCAGAGAAGCCGCCGCGAAGCTCACGAGAGCCACGGCCAGGACTGGGCCAGGGTTCCGCGCACCGCGCCCTCCAGTCCGCCGGAGCTGCCCGGGTCCCGGCCAGAAGGGGCCCAGAGTCCGCAATAGGGGCCGCGGCCGCTCACTCACTATTTCTCTGCCTTAGCCAGGTGCTCCAGCCCCTCGTTTATTTTCTGGGCAGCCATCTCCAGGTCCGGTCCCTGAGGTGGGGCGAGAGCTCCGCCACCCCGAGCCTGCGACACCGGCAGCCGCGAGGGAGACGCCGCGGAGGACGCCGGGAGCAGCGTGCAGGCTGCGCAGGGGAGGCCGGGATGGTGGCAGTGAGCGCATACGGAGGCCCGAAGAGCTCAAACTTGCTGAGCGAAGGGGGAGGGAGCCAAAGGCGCTCCGCCCGGAGAGGACGCAGGCGCAAAGCAGAAGCGCTGGTCCCGCTCCAGACTTCCTGCCAGGCGTGGTGGGCACTGACTAGGGTGTCTGTCTGACTTCAGCGTTTGCTAGATAAGGGTTCAAGGCTCAGTCCCCAGCGCTGGTGCTCTTGGAGGCGGGGGCCTACAGGAGGCGGGGCCTGGCGGGAGGGGCGAGGTCCCCGGAGCCCCTGTGCCCTCCTCTTCCCTCTCTCTCACTTCCGGGCTATAGGACAGGAGCAGCTTCATCTGCTTAGAGCTCCTGCCTGAGCCGCTGCCTCTCCACAGTCCCAAAAGCAACGGGCCTCGCGACCATGGACAGGACCTGAGTTAGGCGCCAAATAAACCTCCTTATAGTCATCTTTCTAAGCTGATTGGCTCAGCTACTTGTTACAGTAACAGAAAGCTGGCGAACACAGCCACCACTCCAGGCTGTGTTTACAGTCAGTTTACACAGCCTGCTTTACCAATCCACATCACTCAGTTGCTCTGGCCCAGACTGTCAGTTCCCCGGGTTTCCTCCTTCCTTCCTCCCTGCCTGGAAAGCACAGCTTTCCGCTTATTCTATATCCCCCGGCGAGCAGCTGACCAGCCGGGGCCAGTGGCTGGCAGTGGGGCCTCTTCTCCGCCCTCCTCTCTTCCTTAGACTGATGGGTAAGTGCTGCCCACGTGAGACCCATCACTTGGCTCCATCTTTCGGAAACTGTCACCTTTCCGTCCTAAAGGGACAGAGTGAACCACTCCTCCCTCCCCAGAGCCGCCCGGCGCGGCCGGAGTCACTGCCATGGATGCCAGCCTGTCCTGGCCTCACGGGGTGAGCCCCGGCACGGCAGCGAGGACCCTCTCCGCAGGGGAGAGAGCCAAGGCCTGCAGCCGCTCCCAGGCCCGAGCAACCTCCACCTCGCACAGCCCGGTCCAGTCGTGGACTCGCTTTCTGCGGTTCCCCACACTACAGGCTCTGCCCCGGGGCCTGTGCCTCTCTCCTGGCTGGGTGTGACACCAGGAGGCCGGGTGCCCCGCGGGACCTCTAGGGTGTGCAACGCCAAGCCTGGGGTTGGGGCACACGGCGGGCTCTGGATGGCACGGGGCACAGGCGGAGCAGCGTCTCCTCCACTTTCTGACCTGGGAACCGCGAGCGGGCCCGCCCCGGGTCAGAGTCCTGTCAGTACCGAGCTCCGAGGCAGCTCACAACAGGGTCGCTGCGCAGCCCTCGGCCGGGCCGGAAACTGCAGGGTCTGAGCGGGGAATGCAGCGCGCTTAGCAGTCTGACCTGAGCCCCGCCTCTCCGCCCAAGCCCGCCCCTCTCCGCCCAAGCCCGCCCCCCGCTGGCGGGGCCACGCCCCCCGTCCCGGAAGCTGCGGCGAGCCTGCGTCTCCCGGGGGTCGGCCTGAGACGCCGCAGCTCGTGGGCTACACTGCGGTGACGCTCGGAGGCTCGCTCGGGGATGGGCGCTTCCTTCCGAGGGTGGGCGGGGACACCGTGGGCCCCTGCAGCCTGGACGCCGGGCCGGTCCTGCGGTTCCGCGCGGGCCCACCCTCCCTGGCTCCCTCGCCGCCACGCCCGGAGTGCCCCGCGCCGTGCAGGGAAGCGGGCCGGGCTTGAGCCCCTCTTCACGACCGCCCTCGCCTTCACACCCTCCGGACGAAGGAGCACGTGCTTCATGTTGCTGTTTTAAAGGCAGAGCTAGAGCGCGCTCTGCTGAGGGGCTCGGGAGACAGACGCTGTCCTTCCGGGGCGTCGGCGGACCCCGTGCGCGGCTCGGCGGGAGGCGCCGGCCCCCGCTGGGTCCCCCCGTTTCGCTGTGGCTGCATTCTGTGCAAATGCACGTTATGCACGGGTGAAATGAGGTGAGCGTTTACTCCCGCCGCCCTTCCTTAACGACGGTCTTAGAATGGCGTGTGCTTTCCTTAAAGTCCTCGGGCTCCGCACCTTTGCAGCCGTCCTGAAAGCAGAGCGGCGAGCGGGGCCGGTGTGCGGGGCCGTGACGGCGTGGGGCTGCTCGCAGGGCCCTGTGGGCGGTGGAAACCGGACGGGCTGAGGCGGAGCTCGCCGAACTCGGAGGGAGTCGGGGGTCGCGGGCGAGAGCACAGCGGGGTGTGGGCGCCGCCGCGCGGGGCTGAGGCGGCGCTGAGTGCTGGGCGGCCAGCGAGGCTGCGGAGGAGCCGGGCCAGGGCGACTGCGCGCCAAGCCACAGGGCGGCCGGGTCACGACTGATCTCAAGGGTGAAAAACTGAAACTGTTTGAACATTTTGCAGAAGACATCTTTTGCAGCAGCTCTCCGCGAGTGTAATGAGAGACTGATAAATGTTAATAAAGACGCTCACAAAGCTCGTGATCTATGACATAATATAAAGCTCATTCGCACATGAAGTTGTCAAAGCCACGAAAAGACCTAGGGCAGCAGAAGCAGCGGCTGCGCCGTTTCTCCAGCTCCCTGAAGAGACACCTGTCTGCGAGGCACAGGCGAAAGGGCACGGGGAGCTCGGCCGAGGGCTGCAAGGTGCCGGTGAGGCTCTGACGGTTACGGCCCGGGGGGACCACGGCAGAGGACCCTTCTCGCCCGGTCCCTCCGTGTCTGCCCACTGGGTGGAGCTCGTGGCCCACAGTTGTCTCAGGAGGAGGCGCTGGACCCAGAATTGTCTGAGGGCTAAGGATTTAGCATTACTCACAAATGAAAGGAGACCTTCCGGATTTGGAGAAAGAAAAAGGAAATCTTCAGCGCCGCAGCAAAATCAGACATGAAAGGAGACGGCTGTAGCCTGGCAAATAAGAAAATAAACAAGTGCATGAAAGGGACGTTTTCCTTTTAAACCGTTTTTGCAAAGGGTTTTTCTTCCCTGAAAAACAAAATACTAAAATAGCAAGCTGCGATTTCATTTATACATCCTTCTCAAGAGGAAATCTAATAATAACAAGGAGTTCCCATTGGGCCCCTGCTTCTTTCATAATGTAAATATATCTCCTCTGGGAAGAGAAACCTAGGCTTAGCCAGGTACTTTGCATCTAAGGTTGTGATTGTATTCACTTGGGTTTTTTTCATTTTCTTTTACCTTGAACAACCTCTTAACCCAAAGAAGTTTTAGACTCTACAGTCACATTCACATTCAAGGTTGGTAGTATAATTTCTTTTTCTAAAAAAGTAACAAGATGATTCGCTCTGTCATGCTCTGGATCCCATCAGGAAGTGGTTTGCCCTTCAGCAAGTCATCTCATGAGGCCAAATGTCCATATTTGAGAGAGCAGGGCCGCGTACCAGGAGAGAAAAGGCTCAGTCAGTCACACTTCAATCCTCAGCTTCATTTCTTATAATACATTGTTTGGCCTCTGTGAGCTTCCGTTTCCTTTATAGTAACGATGTGGCAGAGTAGAAGTGGCAGCTGGCATAGCTTGACTCTGAGGTGTCTCCCAGAGGTTCAGGCGTTAAAGTCTTGGTCCCTGGCTATCACGCTGTCCGGAGGGGGTGGAGCCTTTAGGAAGTGGGGCCTCGGGAGGAAGTGAGGTCATCAGAGGGCGTGGCCCTGAAGCAGGGTTTGGGACCCTACGCCTTCCTCAGTCTGTCTTTTCTTCCCTGCTACTCAAGGGATTGGCTCCTGCCGTGAGTTCACATCAGACCAGTGGGCCGTGGGCTGAAGCCTCCCTACTGTCACAAACCTCTCCTCCTATAAGTTGATTATCTCAAGTGTTTTGTCACATACAGAAACAGCTGCCTAGCACAGCAGCCAAGCCTGATGTTCCTCCCATTGAGCGGTGGCGTCTGTGTCGCCTGCTTTGGGACCTGGGTAGTTCTGTGACCGACCCACCGCCCATGGGGGAAGTGGCCTGGGCCATCTTCAGGCCACCACCTCTGGGCACAGGCCGCCCCCACGTCCCATAAGGAGACACGAAACAGGCTTCCGGGGCCAGTCCAGCCATCCCTGGGCCGCCATCCTGCCGAGGTCCCGGCCATGGGAATCAGAAGCCCCTTGACCCGCTCCTTGGATGCCCGATCCAGGCCGCCCTGAGCTGTGACGGCAGCGACACCCCTGGACTCTCGGGCAGTCAACCAGGCGGCAGCGCCTGGAGCTGCCCATGGTGAGCGCTCCCAAACAGCCCTCAGCAGTTCTGTCTCTTTTGCTTGGTTTCCCATGGAGCCTGGGTTAGAAACACGGCACAGTCCAGCCCTGCTTGGGGGTGACCTGGCATCCCTTGCAGCTGGCCAGCGTGAGCCCTACGGGCATGGGGACTGCAAATCCTCTGGAGCCGCAGGCGGCCAGGAGCAAGACGGCCCCTAAGCTCCCTGGCAGGCATAGCCACCAGACGCGTGCCCTGTCCCCGAGCAACGTGCCTCCCCTGCATTCCAGGGACATCGGAGTGCTCGCAGGCAGTGCCCTGGGCTCTCTTCTTTCTGTTTTTCCTCCCGCAAATCTGCCCGACTCCTCACTGGGCAGGCACTGGGCAACTGGGGACCAACAGGCCAGGGGGCCGGGGAGTGTTGGGCAGTTGTTGCTCTGCCAGCCTGGCTGAGAGCCTCAAGCCCGCTGCCTCTGGCCCCGTAACCAGATCTTCACAGGTGTTTTAGGGACACTTAGCATGGGACCTTCTGGGACCTCCTGAGCACAGGTCACCCACCGTCCCTCTGCAGCACATGCTTTAGGGCACAGATGTCCTGTGCTGTCTTGCCTGTCCTGGGCTCAGTGGCTCCCCATGGATGGAAGAAAATTACCAGCTCCTGGGGGTGAGAACTCACCCGAGGCGTGGCTCTCGGGCTCTGGCTGGTGGCCCAGGGGCCATGCTGGGGCGGACGCGAACAGCTGGGGAGCAGAGGGTTCTGCTGAAGGACTTTGAGGCCTCTGTCTCCTAACAGGACTCAGGCTCGCTGCTGTGACCAGGAGAGGGACAAGTAGCTGGGTGTGAGGAGCCTGCCCTGTGTTCCTCAGGAACTGCTTAAAAGGCAGGAAGCCCTGGAAGCAAACCTAGGAGAACAAAGCGAGGGACAGACGCGTGGGCACGGCTGGACCAGGCCCCAAGGAGGGGAGCGAGGCCCCGGACCCACGTAGCCACCCCTCAGCGCCCACCCGAGGCCAGGCTCCCTTGGCCCTGCTGCCCTCCTTCCTCTAGCTTATACCTTCTGTTGCCCGAAGACCCAGCTCTGTCCCAGCGCCCCACGGAGCCCCAGGCCCAGGCTTCTCCGGCTGATGCCGCCTGCACTGGGGACAGAAGGACAGTGAGCCGCCCACCTCTCGGGCCGGGCGTGTGTCACTGACAGGCGCACAGGCCAACACGAGGACACGGTGCTTGGTGCGCTTCTGGACCGCGCTGGCAGACCCACCTCCCACAGGCAGTGAGAAGGCCACAGCCCTGTCCCCAAACAAGCCTGCTCCTCCAGCCTCCCCTTCCAAGTCTCTCCACAGGCGGTGGCATTTCCCACAGAAACTCTGAGTTGGGGATTGTGACTGGGAAGTCCAAGACTGGACTCCAGCATAAGGAAGTGCTAACCGAGAGGGTGTCCTGCTCCAGCCTGCGGGGTGACTCTTTGGTATTCAAAACAGGCTCATGAGTCGGCCCTCCACGGTTACCATCTGCTGGTCCTGTGTATCAAAGTGCAAATCGATGAATGTGGCAGAGCTTAGCAACTTTAAGGTGTCGCCTGTCAGGTACCTGGGCTTCCTGGTGGCTGGCATTAGACACCCTCACAGTGGCAGCTCGGTGCCCAGTGCGGCTCTGGCCAGTCCAGGCCAGGGAGGTTCAGCAAGAGGCCTGCTTGCTTCCCGTGGCTCTGGGCACTAGGCACTGGGCAGAGGACACAGACTTCTGCACGTGTCCTGGACTATCTGGACATCACTGCCCCAGATGAGCTCTTTTCTGCCTGCTAAGTGAAGGATTCCCTTTCTGATTCTTACGCAAGCATTGAAAACAATTTTTTTTGGCTCAGGAGGAAATTTGCAATTAACTTTGCTGCTGACAGTAGTTTTTTTTTTTTTTTTTTGGTACCAGGGATTGAACTCGGGTCCTCGTGCTTATAAGGCAGGAGGCGGAACCACTGAGCTAAATCCCCAGCCCCAAAGCGAAAGTAAAGGGAATGTTTCTGCTTGGTTTTAAGTCTTAGATTGAGAATTAAACTCACATTCATATTAGGAAAAACCCTACATGTTTTACACAGCACTGAGTGTCTTTGAGTTAGGTCACAAGATAGTTTTTGAAGCTAAAGTCCTGTTAATTTGGCTGACAGAGCTCTGATGAAATGCTTGCTCTCTGGTCAAATTTTGTAATATTCGGCAGCTTTAAGTCCCGTCTAGAGTGGTTGTTAGTGGAGCCGGGCCTTCAGGTTGGCAGGGACCACATGGCCCATGTGGGGTTCGCTGGCTCATCTGGAGCACGTTCAGCCACCAGCATTCGAGTGTGGATGCTCAGGGTCAATTCCGAGCCTTCCCAAAGAGCTTGCTCTCTAACAACAGGGACGTAATCAATCACAGCTTCTCAAGTTACAAATGAGAAAACCGCCCCCAAAGAGATGACAGGAGGAGAGGAGGCACAGGAAGCGTCAGGAGGGGCGGGTGTGGAGGGACCTCAGAGCCTCAGAGGAGTTGGAGAGATGAGACTCCAGGGTTGGTCATGAACCACCAAGACGGCCTCTGGCACCACTGCTCAGGAGGTGCGGATGCGAGAGCTGGCACGGAGTCCCGAGGCTGGCTGGACGGCCCCACCTCTCCCCATGGAGGAAAGACATGTTCTGGTCACCCTGGGTATTCTTCACATCTGGAGAAGGATCTATTTTGAATATATTTATTAATTTGTGGCTGTGTGATTATCTGGAGATGTTCAGGGAACAGCCTTATTGGGGAAGGGACACTATTAGCAACAAGAACAGTCTGTCCTAAATTGACTCCTGCCTGGTAAGCAACTGCAGGGAACGGTCAAAGGCTTCTTAAAACTGTAATTGAAAAAAGAAAAGAAGCAGAGCTAACCTTGGCGTGCTGCAACCCAGTGGCTCCTGAACTGGGCTCAGGCTGCCTCGGACCCCAAAAAGGACTGGGGTTTGTGGAAGCCGCCTCAGAGCTGAGGCCACCTCCTGGGAGGTGACCAGGCAGAGAGCTACAGCCTGGGAAGGGGTGCGGCTTTGTAAGACAAAGGAAAAGACCCTAGGAAGCACCCACCCCACGACACACACACACACACACAAACACACACACACACACACACACACACCACGCACTGTTGGGGACAGCAGGGACTTTCTTCCCAGAGGAGGGGTGGCCTGGCTAAAGGCTGTTAGGCACCAGCTCTGTGGAAAGATAAGGGGACCGGCAGAAAGAGAGGGGCGCAGGGAGGGGCATGCTGAGGGCTCCTGTCTGCACGTCACCTCACTGTCGGGCAGCCCGGGAGTGACCTGTGCCCAGTGAGACAGAACTGCCTTCTCAACTGCCAGAGACCCATGACACCTCACAAGACCACGGGTTGGACGGAAGTGGACAGCTAGGCAGGAGGGGAAACACGGTTCTCCCTTGCCAGCCCTCCTGTGAGAGTGCTGACAAGAGGGGCCGGACACTGCCGAGGATGGTGTGCCGCTGGGAGAGGCCCAGGCTGCCATGCCAGGAGCCACCGCGGGTGGGCGGGTGAGCTCTCCCCTTCCCCGTACGCCTGGCCTGCACCAGCCCATCCAAGAGCAACCTTGGCTATGTTCTTAAAAAGCAAGGATGCCTCCACGTGGGGTTGTGCAATACATGATACTGCTCCCCAGATGAGCGATTTCGGGACCTGAGCTTGGACAGGCTTAATGAAGCTGTCGTGTCCAACGTCCCGCAGAACTCTGCATGCAGACCCAGCCCTGTGAG